ATTAGAATACGCCGGCGAAGTTGTGCTACTTCTCGATTGCAAAAAAAAAATGAGTTGCTCGACTCGCTGACTTGCTGCCATATTTTGTCGTGAAAAGCTGCAGAAAAGTGGACACTTTTGAATTTCTTAATATTCCAGTTAAGTAGTTGGTCATCATTTTTTAGCATGGCGCAATTAGAGAAATATTCTACTTACATATAAACGAGTACATGCAAGCAAGGGTGTTCGATTATTCGCCTTCTTCAAAAACCGGTTTGCGAGTTATTTGCAAAATGGCAATTTGAAAAAAATTATTAATATTAAATTAAAATAATTAAGAAAAAATCGGTTTTATTTTATATATTTTCTCTATAGTAACAGTTGCTGTTAGTCATAAATCAAGACCAAAATTATAATATGACTGCTAAAAATAGGCTTTAATTTGGTAATAAATGAGGCAAAATTAGTTTGAAGTTTTTGGATTACAGAAAAAAATTGTTGAATAAGTTCACATTTAATGGAGTTCACCGATCTTAATAAGATTAGATCGTAAAATAGACAGTCCTTTGCGGGAGAACTCGAGCATTAGAACTAACGGTCTTCGGAATGAAAATACACCACCCGCTGAACCATACCGACTATACAAATATATACTTACCATTCATCGAGAACCAATCAACATCTTCGTCAACTCTCATCGCTTGAATGGCCTCATCGGAGATCAACGGCACCTATCGCAGACGAGGAGCTCGAGCTGCTTCGTGAGGCGTACGATACTTTGAAATAACTCCATTCTGCATATTGCAGCAGTTTAAACTGTTCAGTCCAATTTGAATAACATGCCCGAAGACACCAACCATCTCTTTAAATTCCCACTTACATCAGCTCGTCTAACATTCCTCTTCCTACGGAATAAACGAGTCGGATTTGGCCCTTTCTGAGCCTGCCGTTAGATGAGAATGGAGATACACTGTAGTAGATGTAGTAGCTACACTGGTTTGGACAGGGTTTCGTAAACTGCTTCAACACAAAAAAACAGTCAAAAATTTTTTTTTGGTTTCCCTTTTTTATTTACTGTTTCCTGTAGTAGAAAATTGTCCAGTATTCATATATTAAATTAATAAAATCTTTTTAGTTCCGTTTTTAATAAAATACTATAGAATGTTTAGATTAGGTGAAATCCCCGGTTTCTTCGATTGTAAAAATCCGGTTTACTCGGTATTCGAAAAATCATGATTTCAAAAAAAAAAACGCCTAAAAATTAAAACAATTCTCGGTCAATCACCCTAATACAGGCATATATTTACAATTGTATGTAGATTTGAAATACAAAAAGTAGCCATTTATTATTATGACAATTTAAAATTTTTTTTTAATTTTTTTATGAGGAATATGAAACGCATTCATTTTTCTTTATAAATTGTACAGTGGTGGAGAAATAAACAGTGACACGACATTTTAACGAATTCTTTCTATTTTGCTTTTGTTTATTTAATATTTATTATTTTTTT